GAAGCTCTTTTCGATTTTGGCCGATTTTGAACGATTTAAATCGATTTTGGACCACCGAAATCGATTTCAATCGGTTCTAGTCCACTGCGATAGATTTAAGTCGATTTCAAATCGATTTCAAGCGATTCTGTCACTCAAAATCGATTCCGCAAGAATCGATTTTCAGTCATTGTCAAGGGGAGAAAAGCTGGTTTTGGGTGTCAAAATGACTGAAAATCGATTCTTGCGTAATCGATTTTGAGTGACAGAATCGGTCAAAATCGATTTAAATCAGTTCAAATCGATTTTGAGCCACAAAATCGCTTGAAATCGATTTGAAATCGACTTAAATCTATCACAGTGGACTAAAACCGATTGAAATCGATTTCGGTGGTCCAAAATCGATTTAAATCGGCCAAAATCGAAAAGAGCTTCAAATCAGCTTTTTCCCCCTTGAGTTAACGACGTTTTTATCTGTTCTTTTGTGATATATAGCTGTATGAGTTCGTCAAGAAAACACTCTAGTGAATGTCCATCACAAGCGATGTGATGAAAGACCATCAAAAACACATGCCGATGTGGATTATTGCGTGCATGAAGAAGAACAAAGCGGCAGATGGGACCTACTTTGAGATCGAACGGTTGACTCATATAGAAAATAAGTCGCTCTGTCAATTGACTGAATTCTGTCAAATCCACTTCTGTAAAGGGAAGTATATAATGACTTTGTATGCGTTGCCAAACCGATCCATCACGTTCTTCTTCGTATACCGTTCGAAGCAATTCGTATCGTTCCATTAGATTATGTAAAGCTGAACGTAGTGTAGCATAATCCAGATATCCATCAATATTGACTGCTATAGGTACGTTATAGCACGCATTATTTGCCTTCATCTTCCACAAAAAACAGAACTGTCGTTGAGCGGGCAACAATTCAAGACGCTGATCGTCAGTGAGCGGTGAGATCCGTGCTTTTTTTGGAGTTTCTGCTAGTCCCTGGAGCTACGACGTCACAATCTGTTCAATTTGGTTGGCGTAATCGTTGAGAGTGACACTTTGAAATAGGTCACGGACAGACGTGTAATACCAAACGATTGATAGAGGCGCGCCATAACTTCCATTGCAGATAGTGAGTGACCACCTAATTGCAGGAAATTAGCACTTCCAAGTAAAGTCTGTTTCTTAAGTACACTTGCTAAAATAGTCAAAACAATACTTCTAACACTTTTTATCATTGCAGGTTTGGGCAACATTTTCCGATTGATCTTTCCAATTGAATTCAATGGCATTGTCTCAAGAATAATAATAAATGACGGAACCATGTGATGTGGTAACCATTGAGTCAGGCAACAGCGAATTCGATCTTCTGTAGAATGTAGTGCCTTGGTCAAGACCACATAGGCCACCAAGTGTTGCTGATCAGCGGCATGTTCTTCGAAGATATCATTACGCAAAATAACGACAACCTCGGAGATTTCTTCTAAGTCCAATAAACGACTCTCTATCTCACATAGTTCAATTCGTTGCGAACGTATCTTGACTTGACTGTCAACACGATGTTGATATTCAATGTTACCGTCTTCCAACATACGCACAATGTCCCCAGTCCGATAGACGATTTTCTGATTCTTTGGACCATTGATTGATATAAAAGGATTCATGATAAATTTTTGCGCTGTCAATTTTTTATCATTGAAATAACCGGCACTAACACCGGCTCCACCGATAAGAAGTTCACCAGAGACACCAATGGGCACCAGTTTCAGATGGCTGTCAACCACATACATATAGGTATTGGGTAGTGGTCGACCGATAGGAATTGAATGGAGTGCAGATGACTCTTTTGTAATGATGTAGCAAAGTGCATTGTGCGTTGTTTCTGTTGGTCCATAACCATTGATCAACATCGAAGATGCATATTGAGTTACTGCTTGTACAGATTTCGAATTGGCCTTTTCGCCAGCAAAAATAACGGCGTCCAAAGCAGGAAAAAAACTGGCTGCTTCCGGTTGTTTAGCAAGTGTATTAAAAATAGCCGTTGGTGGATTAACCATATTGAGGTGGTGAGCTGCAAGTGCTGAACATGATGCTATCGCAGAATTATTAATAATTACTAAGACACCACCATTTAATAGCGTAGCATATATTTCAAATGTAGAGACGTCGAAACTCAATGAACATATCTGACCTACGCGATATCCAGAACGAATCGAATGACAACCTACACCTACCGTACGGCATACGATATTTTTGTGCGTTGTGCAAACACCTTCTGGTGTGCCGGTAGAGCCTGATGTAAAAATAATATAAGCAAGATCGTCTGGTTTGATTGAATTTTTCACCAGATAATACTGCATCGAAATATTATCAGTTTCTTTGATTTGATTAAGCAATGATTCAAAGGTGGCAGTTGGAACTACAGACATAGTTTGTTTTTCATCTTCATTGCCATCTATATCGTTGATAATCAAAATTACAGCTTTAGTCTCACGAAGAATCCACAACTTGCGTTCTATCGGTAAATCTGGATCGATAATTACATAATGGCAACCAGCAAGAAGGATGGACCATATCGACTGTACTGTTTGAATTGAACGATAAGCCATAATAGCAATGCATACTTTTCCATCCTTGCCAATCGCGGTCAACAGATTGCGAATTGCTGAGGCCACATTTACGCAAACCGACCAGACTTCAGCATAGCTGACTACTCGGCCATCATGTTCGAGTGCGACTGCCTTACCATTGGTAATGACTTGCTCGTGAAGCAATTGACACAATGTTTTCTCCAGTGGTTGTTTCACATCCATATCAGATATTTTACTAAACTCGTTAATTAGACGTGTTTGCTCGTCATCATGCATCATCGACCATTCGCTCATCCGAGTGTGTGGATTATTTAATGCTGCTTCAAGAAGCAGCATCAAGAAGCAGCATCCATTGATCAATAAGTCGCTCAATGGTCGAGGCCTTAAATACTTTTTTCCGATACTGTGCGTGAATAGATAGAGCTCCCTGCTTATTTTCCCATACATGCACTTCCAAATCACACTTGGCAATTGGATTTGTCACCGGTATCTTGTGTAAAAGATTAGTACTAACAATTTCACCGACATTTTGATAGGCAAAGAGCACTTGAAAGAGCTGTGGAATGTGTGAATCACGCTCAAGATGTTCGAGCTGCGATGTTACGTGAGTAAGCGGTGATTCTTGGTGCTCGAATGCTTCCAAGACAGTACGTTTAACATTGATCATCAATTCATAAAATGTTGGATCGGCACTAAGATCGACACGCATGAGCAATACATTTACAAAAAGACCCACCGTATTTTCGATTTCTGAATAGGGACGATTGAAAACTGGAGCCGCAACAACAATATCCCCCCAGCATGTTGTGCAGCGCGCTAGTAATACATCAAACATGGCCAGAAGTATCATAAATGGCGTAGCATCGATAGATTGACATGATGACTGAAGAAGGTGCACAAGCACCGGCGGAATATCACGAACGAATGTAGCACCACTGATATCTGAATCAGTTTGGTGGTCAGATGGTAGACAGGCAAAATTCATCGCTCCGTTGCTCAGTTTTTCCTTCCAATATGCAATATCTGCATCCCACATTTTTGGATTCAGATTGGCCACATATTGGTGAAATTGGCAATGTACTGGAGCGAGACCTTCGCTTGGATCTTTTTTATCGATAAAAGCTTGCAAAATTTGATTGAGTTCTCGAATTAACACTGCAATTGACCAACCATCGACGATGACATGATGGAAGATCATGCACAATACGCGAGGTCGACCGGTAACAGTGATAAAATGGCTGACAAAGAATGGCTTCGGTTTATTCAAATCAAATTTTTGGCAAAGAAAGCGGGTTAATTCGGAGTCGATCGATGCTTCGATTGGAAGGGCGTGTAAGACTAGAACCGGTGTGTCGTTGACAGTATCAACTAATAATGGTTTCACAATCTGTACAATTTCACCGTGCTCATTGCGATCAAAAACGGTCCGTAACGAGTGATGCCGATTGACCAAAAGTTGAATAGCTTCAGTCAAGAATTTTACCGTAATTCGGTCGTCTGTAATTTCATATGTTGCTTCAATATTATATTTGGCATTCGTATGATTAGACAATTCATCATCTATCCAAATACCTTGTTGACCTACACTGAGTGGTACTGTTGCACAGATCTTCGCATCACATACTGATTTTAATTTTGAAGATTGGTAGGAAACAGTTGATTGCTTGGCACGACAGTTATTAACTAACTTGCATAAATCGAGCAAAGTACGTTGGTTTTTTCCTCAAATATTCAATAACGCAAGAAACAACGACATCGATGCTATCGAGGTGGCAAGAAAAGGGGAGGAAGTAAACACAGAAGTAAAAAGGAAGGAAGTGGACATGAAAGTATAAAAAGCTGCTTAAAAAATTGAGAACAAAAAATTATATCACCTGCAATCAGTATGTTTCGACGCAAGTATCGATTGTGATTCGAAGAAAAAGTCTCAACACAGTAGAAGGTATGCTTAAACTCAAAGTTAAACAAGACTATTAAGTATTTTTGATTTAAAAATTAATAATTAAACAATTAAGTTTCATCCATATAATTACAAACATAGATCGAACTTGTTTTGTGAAAGTGCTCAAACAAATTTGAATTGCTGATCTGTAGTGCTCAAGCACTGAGATATAGGAGTTGGTTGACATTAAACTCTCGAGCTTAGAAGAAAAATCGCTCTTCTGATCGACCACAATTCAGAACGAGGTCGAGATTACACCATCCGACTTGAAGACTGATCGACGTCAAGGTCAAGACAGATCGAGATCAAGATCTTGACGGGGACATTCGAGAACAAGGCCGAGGGTGTGAATTTTGTCTCGGTGGATGGCTAGGTGTGAAATCGATAGAGCTCGCCGAATGATATCTAGATCCATCATCGGCCTAACTTGTTCCCCTTTATCGACGGATTGCAACGGTGTTTCGGAGTCTTCGAAGTTTTCGACTCGTTTCATCTCCTTCCTGAGCAAATTTATTCAGGAAATACTCGAACTGTAACCTAAGATGTCTTACGTACTTAAAGATTGTAATATGTAAGACTATTTTTCAAAATAAGGATTTTCCCGTACCATGACCTGCAAACCCAGTCAAAAACTGCCAATCAATTTCGATTATTTTTCATAAACCACAATCAAGCGCACCTAATTCTTTTGTTCTAGAGATTTTACGTCATGAATACCGATAGTAAACCGTTAGTCACGAAAATAACTGATATTGACTGACAGTTTTCGATCAATTTGGACTGTTACGGTGCAGCTGAAAGTTGTCGGATTCTAGGAGTCTGAAACGCAATGCGACTTCTCACAATTAGTTAACTTGGATCTTTCAACAGGAAGCGATTATTTCTTGAGGTGAAGACAAAGATTTTGTTACTAATACATATACCGAACGATACTATATTTTTCTCGTACAATAATAAACAAAAACCGCCTTGTTCGAAAAATAGTGTTTCCTGTGTAAGATTTCTTGTCTATGAAGGTCGAGAAACTAGTCTACGATTCCGATTCTTTAACCTGGAAAACCTTCGCTCAACTTTTATATGATATTTTCTTTTTCCAATAACTTTCTTTTCTTAGTTAACTCACACAATTTCTGCTATCGATTATCTGATAGCTAAACACAACCTCTTTTTCCTAGACAGATTCTATCGGATCATCTTGAATTATAAAAAACCATCAAAAACTGTTTCTCCCAGAGATGGAACTGATACCGGTTACCGCCGGTTCGGTCTGGATTTAAGATCGGGCCATTAGCCGGTAGACCAACCGGTAGACCGATCGAGACTGGTATACCGGCCAGTAACCGGTCTATCTTATTTATTTTTCTATTTTTATCGTATGAAACTGCCCAAACTTCTGGATCTTCATGGAAGTAGTGAATCGCGATGTTGCTGGATCTCATTTTCAAAGAATGAGCTACGTCTCTGCTGGAAGCAAGGTGGAAAATTCTTCTTGCGATGCGGTAACTTACTTCTGAAGAAACGAGAACAG